TGAATTAAGTATGCAAATAGAATTGTTCATAGTTACACAGTAGTTATATATATGTGCTACTGACATTCAACTTGATGTTATGTAAATGGGAACCAGTCTACATGTCTACGTCAATCTCGCGAACTTGATTTGACGTCCAATTTATGTTTGCCGTATATTGCGAGACTCTTTTACAATAATTGAATGATAATTACTACTATAGTACTATAGTATTCTATCCACCCAAAGGTTGCCTGGTAGATATCGCTTTTAGCGATAAGGCCGCCTTTGTACCCTATTTTCTTTATTTGTTCCTGGATATACTGTCTCAAATTGGTGTACAATAAAGATTATTATTATTAATTACACGTGTGACATTAAAGATACGGTAGTATTAGTTATTTATCTACAACAAATTGACAGACAAGATAATAGATAGTAGGACTATTGACAAGTGACGTCACATTGTTTTCGTTAGATTACGGGGGGCTATCTTTGTAACTAGGTACTTGACCGATCTTTTGATGCTACTTAGGAAGTGGTGATACTTATCTACTTAGAGGTATTGTTTTTGTAATTCATTATTTAAAAAAAACGTATATAGAGTGAATAATCCACTCAAGTTAGCTATTAATACGAATATTCTAGCATTTCGACGCGTTCTAGATTTACATCTGTGCAAATCTGAGATTAATTTATTAAAAAAGAAATACTTACCTAGTCAATTCCAAACGCAGTACCAGATCTTAATTTATTTTTGTATTATAACATATTATCATATAACATATTTCAAGCAATTTAAATGTCGTTCACAAGCCAAGCATTCACTATCGTCACTGACTCGTATAACAATTATTATGTTAATTTTATTTTAGTTTTTGTATGAGAGCACTACATATATGTACATGATTTTATAAAATTCGTGAGAATTTTACCAGTGAAATACTGCCTTCCCATTGTATGCCTCTTAAATTCAAATGTTTTTAAACAAAGGATGATTAATTGAATATAATGTCTCATTAGAGGTTTTAGTATAAAAATTGTGTGAGAATTTGTTTCGATTGGTATATAATTATCTACTATATAGATTATATGAATTACTATATATAAAATAGGTAAACATATTATTATACGTAAAAGTTTAGGTAAAATGATTACCACACATTACCATATATATATAACGTAAGAAGATTTAAATAGTTATTATAAATATTAATAATAAATAGGCTTTCTATTAAATTAAATTACCAAGTAAACACAATTCAATATATATATATATGTATGTATGTATAATTTATAAATAAAATAAAACCTCACCTCAGTCACCCAAAAAAGGACACTGCACCCGATTGTACCATTCGAAAACTAATGAAAGACATGAGATAACTTTCATATAAGAGGGCTGTAGTTACTTATCTAGCTGCGATAATACTTAGTACGCTTTATGGCACTATATTCATTGATAACTGATATTGTGTCGTCACTACTATCACTATATATAAAACTCTTACGTTAGTGATCGACAATGCACAGCCTAAATTATTGGTTATAGGCTAACTTAGCTAAAGTGTTAATGCTTAGACGCTACTGAATTATAAGTCGCGTAAAAAGAAAAACGAGTGGGATATAAGAACTTCGGTAACTTCATTCACATGGCGAAACGTAACACAAACGATGTTTTATGCCGTATATATATATTCCTTGCGGAGTGTAGGGGAATGCTAAGATTTTCCCAAATTCCCACTTTATTTAACGATAAAAACGAGCGTACAAAGTCGCTGGCATAAGCTAGTATAATGTATAATAAGACTATAGTTACAATAAGTGCGCGCGTCGCAGCCCTCTCTAATCTACTCGACGTCGAGTGGAAATGATCCGGAAAATCGAGCTCTATACTTTCCCTTTATCTATTTGGGTGATATGAATGTTGATATGAATTTTTTAAAAGTCAAAATGGACATTGTTTCTATTTTAACTACGTTTCAACGTTACCCATGTGAGAAAGGCTAATCTGTCCGTCAGTTTGTCTGTTCTTGAAACATTGATAAAGAACTATACTGTTATTAAACATTTATTTAGTTTGATTTATGAATGAATATATTTAGGATATATTCGAAACAGAAATGACGAAATGAAAAACACTTCAATAAATTAGTATATATCTATTTATAGAAAATACCTAAACGATTTAAAAAAATAAATTTAACTTACATTGTTCTTACTAATTATTATGATTTGGGTTACTCACATAATTATTTGGCGAGGAAGTCGACTAGTCGTGTGTCGCAGAATGTTGCTCTTGAATATAAGCCTCTAGTATGGCTTGAAACTAGTCGAGGCCGAAACACAATATAATAGTTAAATTAGTATGTCTCACGAAAGGCATGATAAAAATACATCGTCCTTAACCAAAGGTACTTTTAATCCACAATCCAACAGCAAGACAGCCCCAATACAGACAAAGTCACGATCTTGTCACTATTTTAAATCAAAAGTGTATAAACGTACAGACCTACAGTCACACAGCATACTATTGAATGTGCGGTGTAAGGGTGTACGCACGCCTTATCACCGGCAATCGGACGAGGAGTGGCAGAAGACGAGATAGGATATCGTCGAAGATAGGATAACAACCATCGAATTAAAAAGGCTTTGTTTAATAGTTATTTATTTGTTATTATCGCCAAAGCTTTCGGCTTTCATGCGTGATGGATTTACCAATTTTGCAATGATTATGACTATATTAGAAATAGGTACGTGAGAAGGTTAATGGTTTTGATTAGGAATCTTATCTGGAAAGACATAAAAATATTTGTGTTGTTGTTTTTTGAATGATAGTATCTGTTAGTAACA